GTGATCGTCCGGGGATTCCGCTTAAGCCTTCGGGAAGTTCCCGTGAAATGTCTGAGTAAGTATTCAAACAACCCTATAAAATCCTTCAACTCTTTTCGATTCCCCCTGCGCAGGATTCTTCCTTAGTTAAATAAGTGTTGAAGTAGTAGGAGAGTTTCTTGAGATGTTCTTTTCTAAGAAATTCGGCAAATTTTAGCCGGTCATCGTGATTCATTCACCGATGCCGATGATGACCGATGATCCCATGAAACCGAATCCGCGCTACAAGCACTTGAGACTCCAAGCACTTGCAAGCCCCTGAACTCTGTAAACAAGAAGTTTTCCCGTTTTTTTCCTCAAATTCTTGCCACATATACGCCGTTCGTAGAATGCTTTAGAAGTAACCCTTGATAACCATCACTTTTAAGAATGTTTCAAAAGGGGAAAGCGCTATGTTAGAGCGATTTAATCGCGGTTGAACCTCTTGTTGACTTTTCTATTCTTCGAGGACATATTCGCTCTTGGTCAACCACTTGAACAGCGCTGAGAAATTTCAAACAACATTATTTGTGCTCAAAGACGACGAGATGTTCACACTTGAATTGGAAAGACACTCACTTCTCGAGAGCTATGATTTTTGAAGTCTGAGCTTGGAAAATTTTTGGAAAATCATAAGGTGGGGAAACTGGGCAGTTTGCTTGTTGTGTCACCTAGTTATTGAAAAAAAGAAACAGAAAAATTGGTCACACTGGAAGTTCTGAATTCGACGTCTGAGAAACACCGAGTTGTAATTAAGTTTTACCACACAATTTGCGTACTAGAAAAAATTTTCCGCTCATAATTTCAAGAAAGTGTTGCCCATTTCTTCAGAATTACTCCTGTATCCGACGAGATATAAATATTCTCGTGCTTCAAATTTTTCCCCAAGAGTGGAGGAAGTTTTTGAACTGTTCGCGCAAAGCTGTTTGAGATGTCTAAAGAACAGCTGAATTTGCTTTTCAAATTGTGACAGGGAGAGAAATACATATATCGAAGTGAATGATGCATAATCTGTGTCAATTACGTACTTCTCTTTGCAAATGCATACGCAACGCGAGGACCTTGCGTGCAGAACTCCAATCAAGGAACCTAACTTCAATGATCGAGCTATACGCGCGCAAACGTGAAGCAAGCTCTGGCATGACGAGTGACCCGATAGAAAAAGGAGCACGCTCTTGACACAGGCTTTATCTGCTCTAATTGGGCCAGAAATTCTAGGAACCAGGCTACTTATTTAGCAATCAAGTTTATTTTCGTTTTTTACTGTTTGAATTTCTCTCTTTCAGTTTTAATTCTATGTTTTGGGTGAAAGAACAAGTTTAAGATGGCCGAGAATAGCTCGGAACACACTTGGATAATCTAGTCTGCACACCCTTGTTCATGTCCAACCTTTGGAAGAAAATCCATGATGTACAAGATTTCTTGACATAAAAAGGACCGCTCACTACTTGTACAAATAGAGGGCCTATGACAACCGAATTCTTCAGCGCGGCGGGAAACTCTCTAAATGGCTAAAACCGTGTGATCCTAGTCAACATTCTGTGGGAAAGCGATTCGGGCCCACTTGATTTTCAACCCCTTTTCATCTCTTTTTCTCGTGGGATGTTATATCGTGCTCAACTTCCAGCGAATGAACAAAATCCGCTGTAAAACGTAACAACGACTCATTAAAAAGGTTAATGATAAGTGGATGAGTAAATCTATGGCTAATCGAGACTCCAAGACTAAGAGGAATAAATATTTACCTGTTATGCACTGCGCCCATAGGTTGTCAAGTGCTGTCACCGGCTGTGTTTGCAACAGTTCGGCGCGATGAGTAGCGAGCTTATGAGGAAGTTATATCGATTATGCTTCTTATGATCAGATATTTCACCGAAAGGCTGAAAATGAAAATAATTAGAATCATTCTGCCGTAAAAAACGATTTAATGCGATCTAAATCAGATTTTCATTTTTCACAATGATGTTATGCTTGGTTTCTTCTCTTTGAATTGAAGCTTGAGCTACCTATTGATGAGCAAAGCCAGCTCTAGCAAGAACCCCAAAAAGTTGAAAGCTTATCCACGTGAATTTTGAAAAGCAAACATCCAGAAATGGAACTCCGTCCAATAAAATTTCGCGCTCCTGTTTGCTTATGCATATTTCTTCACATCCGACGTTTATAATCACAGCTGTACATAAGTTCTCCATGTAGAAATCGAGACCCAAATATATTCAAAAATCCAAAGATGCCGCCTTTTATTAGGTTGTCCCGAAAGTTTTGTCCGTTTTTTTTCAGCGCTCACTAAAACTCACAGAACACTGATCCATGGACGATTTAGGCACCATTTGATTCAAATTTTTATCCTCTTTCTTACAGGCGTATTCGCTTTCTGAACTACCCTGTCTTTGCGATGTTATCGCCATGGCTTTTTGAGCAGTCTAAAGTGACGCCAAATCTTTCTTGAATTTTAACAATTTTTACCCTGATTTTTCAAGGAGCACTGGTGACTGTTATGTAGAGCAAACCTCTGGCTACATTGTACACATTTTAGATTACACGGGCCACGTTTATCAAGTTCTTTATAATTATTTAATTGATGAAATCCGCGGCTTTTTGACTATGTTTACCATGTGTGAATACCAAAAATTCCAAAAAGCTGCTTTTTCAAAGCAAATCAAACTTAATTATGTTGCATAAATAATGTTTAGTAACAATCATGTTTCAGTTCTCAGAAACTTCAAAGATTTTGTGTATTTGCTGCAGTTGCGTGTTTCATGACTTCGCCAAAAAATGAGACCTCGAAGAAATTATTTTTTGAAGCTTAAGCAGCAGCTTAGGAGAATCTAAAAATATATCCTTGTAGTTCGAGAACTGCTCTATTTGACCCATACTTCACCCTTCCCAAAACTTTGGAATGAAATTTTCAAAAATTAGGCCAATTTTGAGCAGATAAAATTGACAGGTGAAGAATTTTGGCAATTATCAAAAAAAGCATACAAGATTGTGGTACGGAAATCTTATATATAAAGCTGAATGTCTGTTTGTATGTATGTCTGTCTGTATGTCTGTCTGTATGTCTGTGTGTACGTATGTTCCGAATAGAAAATTCCATTTCTGAACCGATCCGGACCAAACTTGGCACACATACACTTCGGGCCCCGGCGGGTGTCATAGGCTACTTTTCGTCATCGATCGATATCGATTTTATCGATTTTTATCGATTTTTTTGCTGAGTTCACCTACGGGGCTGGGAGTTGGCACAGGGGGGTAATCGAGCATGGGGATTCCGAAAACAATATTGGTTTTCAGGATTATCGATTACCTTTATCGATTTTATCGATTTTTTTGCAAAGTTTGAGATACGGGGCTGGGAGTTGGCACAGGGGGGTAATCGAGCATGGGGATTCCGAATACAATATTGGTTTTCAGGATTATCGATTACTTTTATCGATTTTATCGATTTTTTTGCAAAGTTTGAGCTAGGGGGCTGGGAGTTTGCACAGGGGGGGTAATCGAGCATGCTGATTCCGAATACAATATTTGTTTTCAGGATTGTCGATTACTTTTATCGATTTTATCGATTTTTTTGCAAAGTTTGAGCTACGGGGCTGGGAGTTCGCACAGGGGGGTAATCGCATGGGGATTCCGAATACAATATTGGTTTTCGGGATTATCGATTACTTTTATCGATTTTATCGATTTTTTTGCAAAGTTTGAGATACGGGGCTGGGAGTTGGCACAGGGGGGTAATCGAGCATGCTGATCATCCCCAAGGGAGGTGATCAGCATGCTATTACACCCCTGTGCCAAATTCCAGCCCCCTAGCTCGAATTTTCAAAAAATCGATAAAATCGATAAAAGTAATGGACGATCTTGAAAACTAATATTGTATTCGTAATCTGCATGCTCGATTACCCCCCTGTGCAAACTCCCAGCCCCGCAGGTCAAACTTTACAAAAAAATCGATAAAATCGATAAAGGTAATGGACGATCCTGAAAACTAATATTGTGTTCGTAATCAGCATGCTCGATTACCCCCTGTGCAAAATCCCAGCCTCGCATGTCAAAATTTACAAAAAATCGATAAAATCAATAAAAGTAATCGATAATCCTGGAAACTAATATTGTATTCGGAATCCCCATGCTCACTTCCCCCCTGTGCCAACTCCTAGCCCTGTAGGTGAATTCTGCAAAAAAATCGATAAAAATCGGTAAAATCGACATCGATCGATAACGAAAAGTGGACTGTGACACCCGCCGGGGCCCGAAGTGTATGTGTGCCAAGTTTGGTCCGGATACGGCGGAGCCGGTTAAGCCAGCTAGTGTATCCATAAGAAAGAGAAGGAAGCTGCATCGAATGCATGTTGAAACTCATTCAGATCTTTATTGAGCGTGGTTTTATAGTAGTTTGAAAAAACGGACAAAACTTTCGGGACAACCTAATATAAAGTTATTATGTCAGTTTTGACATATCCCGAAAATTAGCGTTGCTGAAATGGCTAAAAATTTATGGTTGTATCCAAAAGTTCGTACAGAATCGAAAAAGTGGTACAAGATTATGTTGAAATAGCCCAGAACTGTTTTGGTAAACATATGTCATCTTTCCTTTTTTCGTGTAATACATATGAGATGGTGAATGTATGATATATGCACAGGTTCCATCTTGAAATCTTTCCGGACGGGGTTCAAAATTTCGAGCATTTGAAACTTTGATTTGAATTGTAGAGATCGACTTGCCGTTATAACGCACTATTTTGGCCGTTCTTCTTCATGTGATACACCTCCCAAAGAAATTTGAAGTTCAATCGAGCGAAAAGTTCATAATTCCGCACGCATGTTGAATGAGAAGATGCTTGAACCAGTAGAAAAAAGCTGAAGAATCACGATTTACATCAAATGCTATAATTTATACTATCCACTTTGGAGAATTATCATTTTCTTTAACATTATTCACTGCAGGTCACCCCGAAGTCATATTCACCAGAGAACGCTGTGATCGGATGACATATGGTCTGAAAGAACAACCAGGTGATCCACAAAAATACAGACAATGCGGACCAAACAACAGAGTTTGGGTGGTGCCTTGCGTGTCGAGGGCGTTATTTGATCCAGTAAATAAGGTATGTTTTGTAAAAAATGGAAATGTCTGAAACTTCCTAAAAATTCTAATCATTAGTGTATAATCAGTCAAAATATCTCCCTTGAAAGATGAAAGACATAAAAAATTTTCCCTTTTTCTGAAGGTTTGCATTTACGAGCCCTCGAAAATTTTGCGAAGTATACCAAAAAATTTGTAGGAGGCGCGACTAACGCCATGCACCATTGACCGAGAAAAAACTTTTGTCCCTCCCCCCCCACGGAAATCCTGGTACAGGAGGGGTACATGTCCAGCGGCATACGGTCTCTCCTCGCAGGAATCATCGCGAATGTCGGTGTCGGTCCAAGAAGTTTCTTTAGGGAGGGGGGGTGCGGAAAATTTTTCTCGGGTGATGGGACGCTCTCCGTAAGAAACATCGAAATGCTTTTCTTTCGCGCCCATAACCCCAACATTTCAAGCTACCCCCCCCCCCCTTCCTAGCGACTTCTTCAAAGTTTTTGAATAGTTCAACTCAAATAGGCTACGCTCAAAAATTCGCGCCCATTCTCGGATGAGAGGAGGAGGGGGGGGGGAGAGAGAGAGAAGGGGGAGCGTCCCCATTCCCTAACCCGCCAGCTTCCCTGTACTTTCAATTAGGCATAAGACTTTGTCTGAGAAAGATTTATCTCATCATACAGGTATGTAAGGAACAATCGCACATACATGCGCTGCTATCAATTCGGCGAAAATCGGGAAAATCCGTCGAGGTTTGTTTTCCTACGCAGTACTTCCACTTAACCAAATTTTCTCGAATTCTGTCTCTCTCAGGCGCGAGAACGAGACGGGACGAAGTTGCAACCGTTGACTGAAGAATTCTTATTCTCTACAAAAAAGCCGAAAAACAATCGACCGCGGATCAAGCCAACATCAACAGCATCTTCTACATTGAGTCCTTCCACGAACTTGCCGTCTTCAACAAAAACCTTAGGGCGTTTTCCTACACCGCCACCGTTTGATTTTCTGAGTACAACAACTCGTCCATTGATTCCGGCTATGGAAAGCACACAAGAATTGAACATCCCGCCTACCGTAACACCCTCGATGATTGATATGGAGCCATTGGGACCTCCGGGACTTCCTTCTATCCCAGCAAGGAGCAACTCAGCACCCCCTGCCGCACATACGGTCAGTTACAAGGGCATAACTATGAGCGAAGAAGAATTCTTGAAACAGCTTGTGCGCATAGTTGAAGCCCATCAACTAGCAATCAGTAAGATCAAAGAACAAGTCGAGCAGGAACGAATTAGAGAAAAGGCCGTTGCTAACAAAAGCATAACAGAAAATTATAGAAAACAAGGAACTGCAGGCAATCACGGCGGAGAAGCGAGCCAGATGAATACAAAGGAGCTGGAACGACAATCCATGGAATTACAACGGCAGAGGGAGAGAGTGGAACATGAATGGCAAGAAGAGTTGGCTAAACAAAAGTCAGCAGAAGAAGAACTGAAAAGCCAGCAAGAGTACGCAGAGAAATTAGCAAAAACTCAACATCTGAAAAAGATGCTGGCTTGGCAACGAGAACTCGCACAAAAGAAAGCAGAACTGGAGAAAAAGGAAAAGGAATTGGCAGAACGACAAAAACAAATAGAAGAGAAGTTGAGACAGGAGGAGGATGCTCGTAAAACAGCAGAAGAGAAACAAAGGCAATTACAAGTGGAAGAAAAGAGGAAGCAAGACCAGGAGATGAAGAAAAAGGAGCTAGCCAGACAAAAAGCAGAGATGGAAAAGAAGAAGAAAGAGAAACAGGAGAAAACACGCATGTTGGCTGAAAAGAAGAAAGAAGAAGAAAGGAGGGAACAGGAAAGAAAGAAAGCTGAAGATGAACGAAAACGCCAAGAGAGACAACGGGAGCTGGCTCGACTGAAAGCAGAAAGATTGCAGCGAGAAAAGGAAGAAGAAGCGCGGAAAGAGCGGAAGAAGCTGGAAGAGGAGCATCTTATCGAAGTGGAGAGGATACGCTTAGAAATGGAAAGGGAAATGGAAGAAGAAGCGAGGAGGATGGCAGAAATGGCCGCATCAGAAGAAAGGAATGGCTCTTCTTCAGACAAATCAAGTTTCCGGATCCACAATTCAGACGAGCATATGACAGGTAGACAAATTTTCTCATTTGTAGTTTTACCCATTTACTTTTCAAATCGCGGTCGCGCAGGTGACTCAAATTCTTAACGGTTGGGCATACTTTACGCGATTTCAGTCGCGACGCGATTTATTTACCTATTTATTTATTTATTTAAATACACACAAGTGCGCCAATTGAAAAAAAAAACAACAATAAACAATGAATGAATTTTCGAACAGATCTCCTTGCTGGGCCGACCAGTCGTTCTCCATCCATTGAAGGTGAGGGGGGGGGGGGGCCCCGCGAGATCCTTTTCCCATTTCCGGACGCGATTGGCTGGTAATACTTACCGGGGCAGTGAGTTATGGACAGGAATATTTAGCAGTATTCCTGTCCATAACTTACTGTAAGCATATTTTGAATTTACAGAAAATAGGGTATATCATCAAATTACCGGTTAACACACTATGCATGTGCAGTCTGCTAGTGTTGGATCTGATGACTGGCGAATTGCCAAATCGCCGCGACTGCGCGTGAAGTATGCCCGGTTCTTTAGGAGTTAATCTTATATATAAAGCTGAATGTCTGTTTGTATGTCTGTCTGTCTGTCTGCATGTCTGTCTGTGTGTACGTATGTTCCGAATAGAAAATTCCATCTCTGAACCGATCCGGACCAAACTTTGCACACATACACTTCGGTGCCGGGCGGGTGTCATAGGCTACTTTTCTTCCTCGATCGATATCGATTTTATTGATTTTTCAAAAGGTTCGAGCAACGGGGCTGGGAGTTAGCACAGGGGGTAAGTGAGCATGCTGATTACGAATATATTATTGACAGGGTCGGGCGGAGCCGGGTTTGCCAGCTAGTTGGTTATAATGCATCTTGATAAAGTTTTGGCAGCTGTTATAAAGAATCAACTTTTTGTCATCTTTTAGTGTAGATTACCTACAAGTTTTTGTAATAATCATTTCTCTACGTAAGAGCACAGCTTCCGAGTACAGTCTGTGTTGATTGTGTAGGGATCGCACATCCGCAACGCGCGCGCCTTGCATGCGAACCTCCAATCGATGAGGCCAATCCAAATGCCATACGCGCGCGAATCTTAGGCGCTGCGTTTGCGCCGATTTCAAAGGGAGTACTGCAGTTGACATAGATTGTCCATGTGGCGCGGGAGCTTACCAAAAATTCAAAAAAGCTAAATCTTGAGATCAAAAGTCATTCTGCGCAAGCTTTGATTGAAGACTAATAAGTTGATTGGTAAAACTTTCAAGGTTTTCATGTTCTTGCTGCAGTCTACGCTTCATGATTCAAAGAAAAAGTGAGATCTTTGAAGAAATCCAAAATAACAGCAATTGGAAAATCTTGAGCAACCTTAGATAGGCCAAGATTTGCTTTAGTTGTATGTGCATATTTTCTCTCTGGAAGTTTGAGACAAAGATTTGAAAATGCGAAATTTTGAGCAGATAAAAATGATGGGGAATAATTTTGGCGCTTTTTATGAGCGGCAGAACTTTTCAAAAAAAAAACAACCGAGAAGAAAAAGCTGTATTGGAAAGAAGAAGATACGAGCACATGTTGATTTTGGGTCATCATTAGAAGCCTTAATAATAGTTTGAAAACCTTTTGGGGAAGAAAAAACTTTTAAAACAACCTAGTGCTTCAGATGAAGACGGAGTAGTCACATTAGCTTAGTCGAAAAGTTTACTAAGACGGTATACCAATTCAAGAGCTTAGTAATTTGACGACCACGGCCTTCATGGCCGTGTAGACCCAGTTCAGGTTTGATTGAAAGTGTTTGCAGGAGGGAACAACCAACACACCGCTCATGAAAACAAAGTCATTGAAGCTGTGATGTCTGGATTGATGGCTAGTAAAAGCGGGTGAGCATCATTTGTAATTATCCAAAAAAAAGGAAAAAGAAAGTAGAATGTTAGCACTTCTTCAGCAGCAAATGATTACAGTCTAATAATTCCGCTTCCAGCCTGAGATTTTTCAATAAACTGTGTACAGAGCTCCTAAATTGCAGTGTCGTTTGCACCAGCGGTGCGCGACCGCTGGTGCAAACGACTCTGCAATTTAGGAGCCCTGTAAGTGGACAGATAGCTATAGTAAATTTCAACTCAGTTTAGGCGGAAATTGGACCGGCGGGAGTCCGCTTCGCAACGATTCGCGCCGCTTTGCAGTCTGCGTCTTTTCATTCTAATTCATCTCTCTAAGCCAGTGGCGGTGCGGACGCGCTGCTCCACTTGAATTGTTTCGCCTACTCTGGGTGGAAAAAGACTGTACGCCTGTAATGCCGGCCACTTGCGCACGCAGAACGCCGGCATTATCGGCGCGGCTACACGTTCATGCGCAAATTCTGCTGCGAAATCCCAGCAGCGCAAACACACTATATCAAGCGGAAAATCTACCGGATCATACTGTATAGCAGAAATTTTGAATGCGCACGCCTACTCTTGTGGTCTATTACGGCGCGGAAAGATGATAATTATGATCCACTCTATGCTTATTTCCACACCTCAACTCAAAAAACTACAGGCAGACGACGATGGAACCGGAAGTGGAAATCATGCGCTTTACTGTACCACCACCTACGCCCTCCTCACCTGAGAATGAATGGGTAACAAGCCCACACTCATGGCGTCCTGCGCCGGATGTTCAGACTAATCAGCTGGAATGGTCCCAAGCTCAGGTCGCTTTTAGACAAATCAATACACAAAACTCATCATCCTCTTATAGATTCCTTCCACTGGAACTTCCGAACTTCCATCAAAGGTTTTGTCAAAATGCAGCCCAGTCAGCGAATGCGATTTCAACTACGAGGAAGACTTGCTCTGCCCTCACCCTAGGTACTTAATGTTTCAGCAGTACCCTTCGTCTCATTTTCAGTGAGCCCGACTTAAGCGGCCCAATTTCCGCGCGGCCGCGTTTGCGAATTATCGTCACATCCATTTCCACGCCTAAGCTCTGGAAGAGGTTCAGAGACAAGCTCTAGTCTTCAATTAGGCGCAGGAAAATCATCAGAGAACACATTCGCGAACGCAATGCAAGCCCAAACGAAGCGACCGCGCGGGACCCGAGCCGCTTGAGTCGGGCTCTCTCCACACAGGACAAAGGATACAGCCTTACTTCGGTCAAAATTAAGCCGAAACCTTTTCAACCTTTTCAGCAGTCCAAATCTCTATCTGCAGTGTACTCCGTGGATAGGAATACGAGGCCGATGGGCTGAGCGCATGTGCCCGCCAAACCTCGTGTTTATGCCGTATTACGGTAGATGTGGTTTAGATGTGGTATGTTCCTGGCAAGCCTACTTTTGTTCGCAATCACTTCAATCAACCAGCCTATCCTACACGAAAAGGTTGCCCATAAAGCGAGGCGTACATGAGCGTTAATGGTAAACCTACATGCCTGACTGACTGCTGTGCGCACCCACTTTGCACAATAAAATCGTTCTTCGTCAAGAACTAGCCTTTACATACCGTCGCGGTCCCAGAAATTTCTTCTTTAAAGAGGAGGGCACAAATTTTTTCGCACTGAAACAGCGTGGTACGCCAAGAGTTTACAACAATCTAACTTTTTCATGCCAAAAAGGTTGGGCTGTGTCAATGTGAGCGTTGCAGCTGTTGCGGCTCCGGTCATCGCGGCTGCCTCGCTCGGGCGCCTAGCGCCGCGTTCGCAAGTATCCTTTTGCCATTATTCTATGTCTCAGTAGCCCTCATTCACTTCAGAGGCGTGGAAAACGCCCGGAGGGTACGTGCGCGAACGCAGCGCAAGAGCCGAGCGGCGGCCGCGATGCCCGAGCAGCTAAGCCGTAACATTCACAGTGAGACAGCCTATATGGCTTTCAACCCGGCGCGACCCTTACACCTTTTTGTGACACAATCAGTAGCTGTGGGAGCAAGAATATTTCCGCGCGCGTCAAGTTCCCGGTAGTGGCTTTCTGTCTGCCGTAATGTGGCTTTTGGCTTCGATCACCAAAACAAGGACGAAAAGGTCTCTTTCTCAATATTAGCTATGGTAGCTTGATGGGAATATTCTAGGAAGCCAGTTTCACACATAGGAATACGATGATTCCCCGACTACCATCCGATCCCGAATTCATCCAATGGAGAGGCAATAAGTAATTACCTTAAACCGTTATTCTCTTCCATTATATGAATGCTTACAGAGACCTGCAGCAGAACACTGACACCACACAAACGCCATATAATTATTTGGTAACAGAAGAGGTTTTACAACCGATCCAAGTGGTGACGAGAAAACCGATCTACAAGATTATCGAGGAGTTTCCGCAAGATTTGCTACCCTCAAGCGACGTACAAAACTCATTCTTTCCCGTGGTCTACGAACCCAAGGAGGTAATAAAAAGTAGTCATAATGTGAATACAATGCAATGGAATTACCTTTAGACGCCCACGGATTCGGGACTAACGTTTCCGCTGTTCCCAATGATTGAGCCTGATTTCCTCGTTCCTTTCGAAAAGTTTCAAGATGAATTCAATGAAGACACCTCCTTTATAGGCAGTATAGTAAAGCCGGCTGTCAAAAAGGTAGGATCTTGTTCATACCTGCTCGTAAGTCCTGAATAGAGGCAAGTTTTGCATGTATTTTCAGATTGCACTGGATCAAGCTGAAACATTTCTAGATCGCATACTCTCCGATGATGTAGAGAGTAGAGGCGAAACCTCAACGCGTTCTGTATCAACCCTGTCGTCAGAAGATGGTTGGAGATAACTCAGTAATATGGACGGAAGTACAGTCGAGTAGATTTAGCGGCAAATATAGTGTGCTTGCACAGAAGGTGAAATGCAGTGAAATTTGCGCGTGAACAAGTAGCCACGTCAGTACCGCGGGTATCTTGCGCGCAATTGGCCGGCGTCACAGTCGAAACTATTTCTTCACGCGCCAATTTTACCGCATTTCACCTTCTGTGCAAGCACACTATATTTACCGCTAATTCTACTCGACTGTAGTTCTGTAACTGAATAATGATCTCAATTTTATACATATATTTTTCCTGCCGAATTGAATATTTATTCAACATTGTTTGCAAACAAATCTGTATAACAGACATGGCCTCTGAAAAAGACCGATTCACGCATAAGAAAGAAAAGATGGTGAAAGACAGCAATCACTGGGAGTTGACAGAAACAAGACATACAAAATACTGAGAGAAATGAATGTTAGAAAGAGTACAAAGACATTAAGATGAATCGGTTTTAGAATCTCACCTGCTATGTTCCACAGAAT